ACACACGAGGAAGCATCCACTGACCGACAGCTCCATCGTGTCCTCTTGAGACGAGAAATGACATTCCCTCCAGATGAGAAGCCCGTGAAGTCAGCCGTAAAGCACACAGTAGGTTTTGCTGCATTTTGTCTTTTCAAAAGGAAGCAGTTGGGAACCAGCAGTTAGCGTAATGGCTATGTCACTGGACTCCCATGTGGTTGACCGCAGTTCGAGTCCTGGACCCAGTGGCTTAAACTCACACCGGGCGCGTGTGCATATGTGCCCAAGATCCCGAGAGGAGAATGGAGGAGAAGGGATTGCGGCGTGACCATCCCCCCTGGGGGGTGATTTCTCACTTTCTGTCTCTCTGTCTCTCTCTGTCTGTCTGGCGAGTGCATGCGCCCTACAGTGAAAAATCTCTCCAAAAAAAAAAAAGAAAAAAAAGTAAAAAAAAATTTAAAAAAAAGGAAGCAGTTCAGGCTGAGCTGTACCCAGTGACCAGCTCAGCGTGGTGCCAGGACGCTTGTGGGGACAGGTCCCTCACACACGGTGCCGCGGTAGAGCCCAGGTGAGGCCCGTGATGGCAGCCTGCAGCCCAGGGCCCAGGACTGCCCAGCTGCAACAGCGCTGGCCGTGGCCCGTGGCTGGGGACACACACCCCGCTTATTAAACTGGGTGACGTCACTGCTCACAGTGAAGAGACACGGGGTGCCCTAGTGTGCAGAGCTGCCGACGTGCCGAAGCCCAGCATGCCCCAGCCTGCCACTGGCCTCAGCGCCCCTCCCTGCTTGCCATGATCAAGGGGCGGGGTGTCGTGTGCTTCCAGGGCTTAGTCAGTGGGTCACTTGAGGAGCCTGCTTCCAGTGCCGTGGAACTGGAAGTGACGGTGACAAAGCCACCAGTGCCATCCACGTCAGGCTCATGGGACCGTGCACCCACCGCCGGGGCCCCGCCCCCTCCTGCGCCCGCCCCCATTTCTGGCTGGCAGCCCCCCAGGACCAGACACTGTTAGCCAGGGCAGCGAGGCCCAGGTCTGAGCAGGCACCCCGTCCTGAGGGTCCCGGGCTCCTCTCAGCATGGTTCCATGCCCCAGGACAGTGGGGACCTCAGGGCACAGTAAGTTTTGCTTTCAAGTTGAAGTGAAGGGGGCAGGTAGAGGGCTTCCGGGTGAAGAGCACAGATCCCTGCCAGCTGCCCCGCTCTGGGGCCCATCGCAAGCAGGGTCCTCTGTGCTGACATGCGGCAGTTTGTCGGGACTTCTGAGCAGTAGATCGGAGCTACCCTCGCCAGACGCAAGACAGGGCCCCACGCGCGGCAGTGCCCAGCACAGAGCACACGCGTGCGCTGAAAGACACACGCTGCCCTCTGCTCCTCGGGGAAGCTGGGCTGGCGCAGGGGCAGGAAACCCACGTGTTCTGGGGCAGCAACTTGGCCAGTCCCTAAGGGCAGGCTCCCACTTGCTCAGCAGCCAGGGGAGGAAGAATGGGCATTGCAGCAAAAACCATCATGCCTGCTGCGGGTGGGAGCAGGCCCAGGGGCAGGTTCTGAGGAGCTGGGGTTTGAACGGGGCCTCATGGATAACCCGGGTTTTGCAGGTGGAGAAGCGAAGGAAGAATATTCTGCAAACCATTCGACCCGGGCCAAGATGACTCTCGGTAACGCCCGCTCCTTAGCGGGGCTCACCTTTCTGCCTCTCTGTGTCCTTCCACCTGCCATAAATTCCCATGGGTTTTAAAGGCCAAAAAGTATTTGCTTGAAAATCCTACTCCAGAAATGGGATTGACGGCGCCGAGAAGGGGATTTGACAGTGAGGAGATGGGAACGAAGTATTTCAGAGGTTCAGGAGAAAAATCCAGAGATGAGCAGCGAACCCCGGACAGAAGGAGCAGGATCCGAGTCAAGTCCGTTCCCTACGGGCCAGACGCCGCAGGCACCCAAGCCTCCACATGCCACCAGGCCCCCTGCTGAGCACCCCAGCACAGCCCGAGGTGGGAACAACCGGGAGGACTCGGCGTGGTCCCAGTCCCCCAGCTGCGTAGGCCGGTCACGGCAGACTGTAGGGCAGGGTATGGACCAGGACAGTCCTTGAGCTCAGTCCCTGAGCAGTCCTGCAGCCGCAGTGCATCTCTCCTGGAGCCCTTGCATCAGGAGTGGGTAGGAACCCACCACAGATGTGGGTGTGAAGAAAGCCAGAGGGGTGTCCTGGTGCAGGGCCTCCTGGTGGAGGATGCCAGCTAGGCCTCCTTGTCAGGGAAGCCATCCAGGCTGAGCTGCATCCAGCCGACCAGCTCGGCGTGGCACCAGGACGCTACTGGAGTCATGAGTTATGTTATGTTCTTCAAGATACACCAAGTTCTACTCCGGCATCTGTGCACGTGACCTTGTTTGGAAATGATGCTGTTGGTGATGAGTAGGTCGAGGTCATCGGTCATCCAGGGGGACTGTGAGCCCTCACCCAGGATGGCTGGTGTCCTGTGGGAGAGGGGGAGAGACATAGGACGCACCCAGTGACGATGGGGACAGAGACTGGAGTGACACTGACATGGTCGAGAGCGCCAAGGACTACCAGTGGCCAGAGACACGGCACAGCCCTCTGAGCCCCGGGGCATCCAGCCTGCTGCCCCACGACCCTGGACCGGAGACATGGCACAACCCTCTGAACCCCTGGGAAGCCAGCCCGCTGCCCCACAACCCTGGACTTGCTGCGTTCCTTCCTCTGGTCGAAGCGTGTGCACACCTGGCCCTCCTCCGGCATCTGTGCAGGACTGGACTGCTGAGGTATGCCGAAGGTCGGCTCCGCAGGGCCAGGTGCCTGCAGTTAAGCCCCCCGTGCCCACAGCCCTCAACCCAGAGTGGGACCTAGTGCAGTGCCTCCTGTCCTGCCCCAGTCAGCCGCACTGCACTCCCTGGGCCGTGACCCACATTCTGGCCCCATCTGGACTTGGGTGCGTCTGCCCTGGGCGTGCAGATGCCACCAACCTGGTGCTCCTCAAAGACCTCCCCAGAGTCTCCAGTCCCCGTGCCCGCCCCCTGCCCCCCCCAGGCACTCCAGCTGTGCCTCATGGACCCTGGGACTCCCCCACCACCTCCCAGCTCCCAGCTGCCCTATGCCCACCCAGCCCTCAGGAACACACCCAGGGGCCGGGGCAGGGAGGACTCTGCACCCACTGTACCATGTCACCCCGTTCCGACGCCCCTCCCGTCAGCCGTCCCTCTCCAGTGCTGGGCCCAGCTCCCACCGGGGTCGTCCTGACATGCCCAAAGGTGTCGCGCTGTGACTAGTAGAGACCCCTCCCATCCCTTACTGAGTTCTTGTTCCCGTCACGGCTTCACAGACTCTCCACTGGCTCTCAGCACACCCTGCAGTGCACTTCCCCCACGTCCATCCAAAACGCTGGCGATGGCCGATGGCCGAAGGGCGTACTCCACGCCGTGCTCCACATCGCTGCTCCCCGGAAACGAGACAGCCCCCCGCGAGGGGTCGCTCGCTCAGGATGTTGGGAAAACAATGGCCAAGTGCCAGCGAGGAGGTGGGGGAGCCCTTGCACACTGTGGCTGGGAGCGTGGGAACAGTAGGGAGGGTTCTCGGAGGATTAAAATCGGAGCTACCATGTGATGCTCGCGTCCCCTGCTGGGCACGCCTCCAGGGAAATGAGGTCGGTGTGCCGACGAGGACCTGCACTGCCATGTCGCCACAGCGTCGTGCGGAGGAGGCGGTCCAGGCCTCCGACCCCGCAAGGCAGAGCGTCCTATTACCCTCCCCTGTGGTCGCCCAGCTCCCGGCATCCTTCCCAGTCTCCCCTGCTCACGTTCCCCAGAAGTCACTCCCCCGCCGCTTCAGCCCGCCTCACTGCCTCTGGAGCCCCCACCACACCACCTCTGCACGAGGCTGGCCGTGTACCCTGCTGTCGCCAGCCCACGACACTCACTTCCTCGAGAGGCCACAGGCAGCGCTGCAGGC